CCAACACTTTATATTTTACAAATATTAATACTGTAATAGAGTGAACATGTCATGCCGTCAACTCAAGTCATGCCGCGATGGCAGCTCTTCTCCAGCGCAGAAAATTTTTTTATAGCGGAACAAACTAAGTTCATCTAAAATAACCCACACCAAGCAAAGCATTTTAATACGTTCGTATTATTTCTGTATTTTGTTTACATTTATATGTTCTCTGAGATTTATAAACAGGTTTTTTTGTCTAGCCAATCACATCACTTCATGTGACTGCTAATTATAACTAACCAATCATGTGCTTGGTACAAATTTTGTACCAAAGGAAGAGAGATTTGTATCGCGTGCCACCAGAGGTTCTCTTCGCCTCGCGTAAAATAAATACGAGCGGGAATAAGGCGAAAGATACAGAACCTCTGGCAACCAGGGTAGGGAGTTGATGCATACGTCAAATTCCCCTTCCTGGTGCTTCATAGTGTGGTCAAAGTCCCCTGGGTCGCCCGAACCCCCTCAGGGAAAAAGCAAATGGTAGATTTTGGCCATGTGCTGACTCGTTCGCAGTCGCTCACGTTGGATATTGGGAATGGGATTAGGTGGCGGCTGTCGGCGCTGGCTTGCCAGCCGAGTCGCGGGTGGTATACATAGCCATTAGAGAATTGAAATCGTCATCTAAATATTATACTAATTCCCAAACTTATCACACAACTAACTGGCACATTTATTATTATGAAACCGTGTGTGCAAACACTGAAACCTTTTATATTTTCGTGAACTAACTGTCGTTCTCCTGCATGCACATATAAATCTTTCGCCTTTTACTAAAGATTTCCTTGTGAAGAGCCGCAAATTTTATTTGCAGATAGCCAGGAGAAATTTGACACCATCCTAAATAAAAAATACAACTAAAGCAGCCAGATTCATAATTTTTCCCTGAAAATTTCTGTTTTTGTTAATAGATAAAAAGAAACATAAATTTACTGGTCATAAACATGAGATGAAACGAACTATTGTTTTCATATTTGTTGTCTTTGATTAAATGACGAAATACCTCGTATTCTTCTTCAAATACTATCCAAACTGTGTTAGTATTCTATATAAAAAGTAAAAATGTCAACATGAACATTATAGCGATTTACGATCTTTAGAGTCAAGCAATACCACATTTCACACAATTTTCACGATCAATGTAAACAATGACAATTAGTCAATGTCAATGTATTACCAAGGCATAACCTTTCGCTGAACTTCGGCCCCTAGCTTTCAAGTTTCAACATATTTTTTTCGTAATAGTCTTGTTCGAATCACAATCCAAAACGCTATTCAGAGTGTTATTTTCAAGCTTGTATCTACAGATTTGCATCTTTTATTTCGGTATTTCAGAATATCTAAATTTTTAGTGGGAGCTTCAACCGGAAATATAAGTTGATTGTCGAAACAATGCTGTCCTGCTGGCCACTCTGGAAACCACACGGAAACCGATTCTAAAGGTCACATTACGTGGCCGAAGTTATGTTCAGCGAAAGCCGAAAGGTATGGCCAGTACAAAATACAAACACGATTTCTGAGTTGTAATGTCAAAGTAATATTAATACATTTTGCCAGCACATTCAAAAACAGAAAATTGCCTTGAAAGTTGAAATCCGTATGTGTTGTTTCATGTACATATAATTACGGTGGCCCAGAAGTGCAAAACACAAAACAAACAAAGCAAAACAAAAATTACGTTTCTTTATCATTTTTACACTATTCTGATACATTTTTACCCAAAACACACAATTTTCTTTTTTTATGACACGTTTGAAAACACAAAACACATTTGGAATCACAAAACACATTTGGAAATCACAAAACACATTTGGAAATCACAAAACACATTTAGAAATCACAAAACACATTTGGAATCACAAAACACATTTAGAAATCACAAAACACTTTTGGAATCACAAAACACATTTAGAAATCACAAAACACTTTTGGAATCACAAAACACATTTGGAAACCACAAAACACATTTGGAATCACAAAACACATTTGGAAATCACAAAACACATTTGGAAATCACAGAAATTGGAAATTCCGAATCATAACAAATGCTTCCACTTCATAAAACTGGATTTCCTGTTTATATCCTTATTTATTTATCCTTATCTGGCGTTTGAAATAGGCTATTATTTTTTTTATTCGCCCAAATATATAAATAAATCATATAATAGAAACTATTTACATAGGGCTAGGAACCTTCTAGAAACCATAAGGCATTGAATAGGCTTTTATTTAAGGTCCCTTGTTTTAGGTCCTTATTAAGCCCCAATGGTTGTAATCTAATAGTTTCCTGCCATTATCTTGGCAATTCATTATATTTTCTAAAACATCTGAATAACATTTTGGACATTTCATTGTTTTGTTTGATGTAAAAGAATATTTTCAAACAATTTTCCCACGTTTTCCAGACGCCATTTTGAAATTTGAAGACATTCGTCAACACTTCATGTAACAAATGGTTTTTGTGACTTGTGAATTCATAGCTTCCACATGCAAGGAAATTCCTGGCTAAAGGAAATACAACCTCGTTCCCAGGGTCTCTCCTTCTGTCATCTGGGAGAGACCCTGGCTGCCGCTGGTCACGTGCCTCCCAGATTCTGGGAGGTAAATTTAATTGTAACTGTGAGAGGGGTGGGAAAGGAGCGTGTTTGTAGCGTTTTAAAATTGCAACTTTGGGTGATGCAATTTACTGTAAATTTGCAACAAGAAATCGTAAAGAGAACTCTTGAATTAATATTTATATCGTGACGTTCTACTGTATAATCTGGTGTCGAGTTACAATTCAAGCAAGTTGGATCAGATTTCATTATAGACTTGCCAAAGAAAGCACGCTTGCCGCTTGTGCAGCGTGGCAATATTAAACCTACAAGAAAATATATATCTCTAGACCGAACAGTGTGGTTGTTATTTATTTAGTATTAAAGTTTATCCTGATACTCGGACCAAAAGAATTTATTTATTGATGAGATGTGGAATTGCAACGAAATAGCGAGATCTTTTGATTTCCGAAATATCGCCAACTGTATCCAGATTGCTGATCTATATAAAGGCCTTATAAAAAAACTTAAATCCCGTCAAAAGACTATAAAATTGGCCCTTGGGCCTTGGCATAATGCTGAAACCAACGATCATGGTATATGTCAAAGTATTGCTGTCTGTTGAAAATCTACGGTATTAAAATCATACACCAAAGATAAGTCAAACGACAAATTATATGTCACTATATTATACATGTCTTTCAATGAACTCTGTTTAGAACTGTTCACCACCTTTATAAATTTTGTAAACAGCTTTCGTTTTGACATGAATAAGCTTTAATTTTTTGCTTTATATGAATTCTTAATAATGCAAGTGAGATTTAAATTTTTGCTTTGTGAAATAGAATACCGTTATTTTTTAATGGACAGCTTGCATCGTCTATATCATATCCAGGATTGCTTGTGTGTAAACGCATTATTCACTATATGATACTATCAAATTAATAAATATAAGTAGCAAATGATTAATGAATTAGAGATAAA